ATCACGGAGAACCTCCAAATCCTGACCCAAAATTCTATAAAGTATTGTTTAGTCTCCCTACAGTGTAGGTGCTATGACTCCCTGGTATGTACCTGCTGGTAAATAGACAAATTGCAACCAGGCCATAGTTTGGATAGAGCAGACGATCCTGTCCTGGACCCTGTTCCACATTCAAAGTATCTAGACTCATATAGTGAGGGAGGAATATTGTGGTACTGACTCCGATTTTCATGCGCTAAGAAATTATCAAGTATATGTAACTGTAAGCGATAATCACTCAAAGTTCGAAGCTAACAGTAATATTCACTGGTTAGAGGGAAAGGCACAAACGAGAAAGGTCTGAAGAAAAAATTGACTGTCACCACCAGGATTCGAACCAGGGACCTTCGCTTGAGGCCAGCGATGCTCTAATCACTGAGCTAAGGGATCGTCGCAAAAGTTTTTTGTCGTCCCTGAAACGAACATGATTCATTTGGGGGGGGGGGGGGGGGGGGGGGGGAGGGGGTGCGAGCCAAAATCGCAAGTCGACCGACACTGTACATATGACATGTACATGCATGCGATTTTCGTCGTCCAGCATAGCAGGCTGTGTTCGTTTCAGAGGGAGGGGAGGGGGTCCAAGTACGAAATGAACGATGTTCGTTTCAGGGACGACAGAAAACTTTTGCGACGACCCCTAAGGTGTAGCCGTCATCCCAGCCGAGATCGTTCAACATTTTCTTCAGACTTCATAACGCACACTAACAGCATCAGCTAATGGTATATGTACTCTTTTTCGATTGTACATGCAAGCTCTACCTTGTGATGTTGAGCTCTCTTCGTTTGGTGGGGGTACTAGGGAGGTTTAGTCCCACGTAATCCGTGGGTACTTTACGTGGGTGTACCACGTGATACTCAGTGACCCACGTACAGACGTTTTCTGATTCACGACATACCGTGTATGGAGGCTCACCCACGTTCCGCCAGAACGTGGGTGAAAATCAGAATGGAGCGCATTGTGCGAGCTGTGAGGGTGCTCAGCTGAAGAAGTTTCCGAAGAACGAAATCAAAATATTGGATGAGCTTCTTAGGCCGGGGTAGCTTCGTCTTTGACCAGGTTTTGGCCTTTAGCTTCATGCTTTTGTTTGTTCCGTGTGACTAAACACAACATTGCAACGTGGGTGCCCTTCATCCACTTTACGTGGATCACCCACGTACGCGTTTCCGTTACGTGGGAACTAAACCTCCCTACTCTGCTCGTCTAATGTGAACCACAGTCCACCTACAATTCTACATTTGCAACGTTGTCCAATATGCATCGGCACGCATTGTACATAACTGTTACAGCAGAGTGTAGATTATCCGCACCCCTCGGGCGCACGCTTTCTCCAGGGGGTTCGGATGGGGAAAAATTCTGATAAGGGAGCAGTCACACATCCATGTAAGACTTGCACATTCCTTCACGCTTCCATCATTTCTCACATTCTCTTCACAGGAACTAGACACACTCTAGCTCCTCAATATGACTCCATGGTGATACATTGTTGCTCCAACCTGTTGCAAACTATCTTGTGCACCGCTTGAATGGTGCTTGGGGTTGGGCAAAGTGAGCAGAAGCTCATTTTCGTCCCTTCAATTCAATGGAAACTGGCATTTCGATTAAGTGATTGTTCGGATTATCGGCATTCTACTGTACCGTAAAGTCGCGGATAAAAGCCGGGCTTATAAGCACATAAGCCGCTTTCTGCATCAGGCTTTAATGCAAACCAGGCTTGTATGCAAACCATGCTTATATGCACTACTGATATTTTTGCCAGACTTGTATGCCAGGCTTCTACGCGCGCCACGCGTAGATCTACCACTGACTACCGGTATGGCGGCAGTTTTACTATGCACCGTACATAGCGCACGCACTCTTGACCCACCCGATCTGCGCTTGCATAGAAGCCAGGCTTCTACGCGCGACAGGCTTATATGCATTTGACCCGTTTGATTTTCAGGCTTCTATCTGCGATGTGCTTGTATGCAAACCCGGCTTTTATCCGCGACTTTACGGTATTCATATTCACGCTTTCGGTACAGTCTGGAACAGGAGATCCTAGTTCGACTCAGACTGCCCTTTCCATAATACGTTTCCCATGCATTCGCAGTTCTTTTATCGGAACATCTTTTCTTCCCAACCTCAAATCCTGTGCAACACCGGTTGGCTTTCCTCAGTTTCCTGAGTGGTGTTACCTCTCAATAGAAGCATGAGTGGCCATTCAATATACCGGTATAGTAAAACATGTCCATAATTATCGGAGAAAGGATCGGATGTGGCTAAATAATTTGAAACTGTCCACCTCTCCTCACTGCGCTCTTGGCCCACATTTACCACACCATAGCGAGGAAGTTCGTTCTTGGATAGATGCTCTACATCCTCCAGACATCTATCCAAGAACAAACTTCCTCGCTATGGTGTGGTGAATGTGAGCCAAGAGTGCAGTGGTGGGCAGTTGCAAATAATTTTACTACAATGTGCTAAGCAGAACAGAGCCACTAGCACCTGGGTGGAAACTATTCTGAATTTCGAATGCCAGGGAAAGCTGAAGGATACCCATGAAACCACTGTCAAAGCAAACACGAATTTGAAAAGCAGTGCATGCATGGTGGCGGTGGGAAAAAGGAGCCAAGGAAAGTGTGTACATATTTTTGTTGAAAGGATGAGAATTCAAAGAAAGCTGGCTGCTTCCTCTATTTCCATGATCGGCCAGTGCCTGCAGCACGAACAGTACATTGTAATACATGTATGTGCATAGACAGACAAATAAACACTAACCTGAGCATGCCGGGTACCACTTGTATTCGTGGTCAGGAAAGTGAAAGTACGAACGAAGGAGAAGAAGATTGTTGACCATGGCGAACAACTGCATCAGTGCATATCCAGAGGGCACACGGCTTGCCAGAATGGGTCGGCTACATCTTCGCTAATTTTCTATGCTAACAACATTCAGCTTCGAGGTCAAGGACGACGGCATTTTTGGAAGGAAATTTCGAATTTTGGAGAAGAAGCTTGCTTTCGGAAAAATGTTCCTTTCACGCAAGGCAGCATGCCAGATCAGGCGTGTGAACCAGGTGAACTGTAGCTGTGTCGGCAGATCGACGTTTACGTTCCAGGCCGACAGTTTTTTGACCAAGCCGTGAATCGCCCTCGCTCTGACTCGCCCGGCTACAAAGGAGTAATTTTACAACTCTTCAGGCCAGCTACAGGTCTCTGATGCAGAGCTGCAAGTGACGGATATCGGTCATTTGCAGCCACTACTAAGAGCCTCCTGGTCGTCGCAATCTGATACATAATATACCTCCTCATGGGGTTATGTACTCTTGTTAGTAGTCAACACCCCGCGCGCGGGAGTCGTAAAGCACGACTCCCTGTACTGTAGTCCCTGCACATGCTCCACACCAGGGAGTCGTCAAATACCTCCTCCGTCGTATCGAAACAATGTTTCGACACTGCAGGTTCCGGATTCGTCTGATAATCCGTGTACAGTGCGCATTGCATCATCAAAATGACGTCAACTTGAAATTCTGTCGGGACAGCACCCATAGTGGAGTTGCACACTCTGGGGGGTTATGTACTCTTGAATGATAGCATGCAGGGGGGGGGGTTGCATTTGAAAAAGTCGAGTCTTGATCAACGGCGATCTCGCAGTCGCAGATATAGATCAGCGGAAGACAATCGAGCGTGGCAGCCTACGCACGCGTCGCGCAACATGAACAAAACGTTGCTGTTTCGCTTCGTTTTCGACTAGTACAGTTCATGGCTACTACAGCTGACTTCCGTCATGGATGCTGCAGGAGCGCTTGAAATGTTTGAAGAGCTGGAGGCCGATGATACCCCTGTAGAATAAGAATCTGAAGACGACGATGGTGAAAAATCTGACGCTCTTTTCTCTGACGGAAACCTGCCGTCATCAGATGAGGAAGACCGACTCAACGATGATTTGGTTTTCTGTGAATTTCTTGAGAACGGCAGCTCTTCAGATGAGGACAAAATTTCCGACGATGAGCTTCAAGAAGCTGTAGGGCGAGGGCAAGCGCAGCCAGTTCGTGGAAGTGCTCCGCTCGCGCTGCGCGGAGGAATTGCTCGCGGCGCTGGTCGAGCTCAGCCAGCTGATGGAACAGCTGATCGCGGCGTGCGTGGCGCGTGTGGCGGAGGCCGTGGACGAGGTAGTGGATTCGGCGCGCTGAGTGGTGTTGGCGACCAAGATGTTCTTGGACCAGCGCAGTACCCTGTCCCTGACCCTATTGTAAATTTTTCTGACTTGAAAAAGAATGCCAGTGAAAACATGACCATGACTCCGATGAGCGCACGGCCAGGCAGGCCCAAGCCAAGGCCCGGGCGATGGCGCGCGCGTAGCACAGTAGATTAGCACGAGGCCTTCATGTACTGATGTAAGCGAAAACTGATAAGATCATCGCGTGTCAGCAAAGGAGTGATAGTGTAGCCACCACGTCCCCGACCAACCTACTTGTTCTTAGATCTTGAGCATTGAGCAAAGAAAAAAGGCAACAGGTCTAGCCACCACGTCCCCAACATCCACTCTATGTCAGTATGTGGTATCGCGCTTATAAAGTTATAGTTATACCGTCTACGCGGCTCAAAGGATGTAACTGTAAGTGGAAACCTGAAACACGATCATAGAGTTCTGGCAGCCTTTCCGCCTTCATCAAGGCCTCGTGCGCACGGCCGCGGGCGCAGGCCTCGGCGCTACGCGCCTTGGCCTGCGCCCTTGGCCGTATGCACTCAGCCATAAAGTCCTGCCAGATCTCAGAACTCTATGACAGTCATGATGATTGTCTACGTAGTTTGTCAGTTTGTGTCATCCGGACCTACCGCGGGTAATCCCCGGGGATGAAGATAAAAAATGGCGAAAAAATACCACTGAATCCTAGGCCTGGATCTAGCCACAGGACAGCTGCATGCAGTTTTTTTTTAGTGAGTAGTGTGCAAAAGTGTTCGGAAAATAGTCTTTGAGCGCCTGGGTTTACAAACCTCTTGCTCATAGTCATACTCATCATAGTCATACTCCTGCCCCGCGTCGGGGAAGCGTTATGAATGTAGCGAACAAGCTACGTTAGGCTTAGCAAAGAGAGTACAACACGGAAGAAGTCAGTGGATCGGAACTGAGTCTGAAGTCAGACCAAGGCCGGTCAAGAAAGACATTGAAGTGAAAAGGACCAAACAGACGAAGTCTCCATGCTCTGTGCTGACTGTACTGTAGTCTGCGTTTAGTCTGGTGTTCGGTATACCATGGTATAAGCTGCACAACCAAGTCTGCTGATGATCAGCGCGCAGCTAGCGCTTGATGGTGATGTTGTTTATGCTACGAAGTGTAGTGACCAGCGCAGTTGTTACCTGCTGAGTCTCACTGAGCGGACTGGACGTAAGTTAGTTATGATTGATTGGAAGGCACGATACTAGTAATACTACTGACTAGTTGTAGTGGAGCCGCAACCCGTTCTCAAGCAACACCCAAGCCCAAGTTCAGGATGATGCCGCCTCAACCTCAACTGCTATTATTGTAGTACTAGTGCCAGGAGACATGGTACCAGTAGAGAGTTGCTTGCAACTATTACTTTCTGCACGAAAACGAATGCGAAGATGTGATCGTGTGTTTGCAGCATAGAAATGGAGTTGCTACCACAAGCAAGTATTGGTATCAGACAGAACTTACCTGAGGGCGAGCGGCGCTGGACCAAAGCGCTGTCACCGCTGTTTCTAACGACAAGTCTTGATTTCTGCCTTGGTACGTCTATTGCCATCCTGGCGATTCTGCTCTTAACGACTGCTGCTGTGGAAGACGAAGCACGAACGGGGGACATTTCTTTGAAAGTGCCGCTCAGTCATCGCCCTTACGTCCACGAGACTCGTGTGGGCGAGAAACTAGCGCATGCGGGGAGCAGGTTGTTCCGAAGGTGGGTACTGAATCCGTTTAAGTCAATGCAGTCCGGAGCGTTATGCACTGAAGCTGAAGTATTGAAGCGAGGGCTTAAACTGAATGAGGTATTTCTGGAAAGGCAGCAGCTACACGTACGCACTGGGCTTCAGTGCCACCAGGACATGGTCCGGATTGCTAAAAAGTTCCTGAGTCTTGTCGAAATATTTCGATGTGGCGACGAACACGATAGCAGTGCGGCTAAGCACAGCGACACAGAAATGCTGCTTGACTGCATGCATAGGAGATGGCACGTCATTGTGCAACAACACGAATCCCCATGTCATCATCACACAACACCCGGAGCAGCACCAATGAAGGTTTCGCCAGTATGTACACCGTCGTACGCAAACATGCCCATGCGCAGGTGTGAATTCGTTGCACTACAGCTTGGTATAACGTACAGAGAAATGCCAGTATGGTCGGATACCCGCCACATACGTTGGATAAGCAGAACACGTGCCATCTGGAATAGAGAACATTCTGTCGTAGTAACACACGGATACGAAATTCAACAGCTGGCGTGCAGCGTAGCCGGCGGCCCTTCTTTGAAGCGAACCATCTGCATTCGCTCACATCTTGCTGGACCTGCCGAAGACTACAGGTGTAGAGCGTTACGTTGGTCGCTAACGTATCTGGTAAGAAGCGCATGCCTTCGCCACACACTTGCAAAATCTGAAATGGACCGTATGGGGGTGATCTCAAACTGTGTTTCTAAGATGTCAAACCAGCAAATACGCCGCTCCAAGAAGGCATTGCTGTCAGCTATTGGAAAACCTGTGAAAGGTTGCCTGGTTTCCAGGCTTGGTACTAATGACACGAAACGGGACGTTGCTGGACCATTCTCCGCCAGTGGTGTCTCAAGTTGGATAGCATCAGTACGTGGTTACCAGTTGCGTCGCAATGCCCTTGAAATAAATCGTACCATGTGTCAATGCTCGGAACTCGTTTCCGCATTGGTGTACTGCAAAGAGTATGCTTCTGCATGGCATGATGCAGGCGAAGTCTCACTCCCGACATGTGAGCCGAATCAGAATTGGTGTGTACTAGAATTTGGCCTAGCAGTTGAAGAGCTTGAAATGTTCAATGCGGGCGCCGGCAACACACCCCTGAAAGAAACAGTGACGTGTCATCGTCTTTCTCTGTGCGTTTCCACCCTGGATAGCTCAGCTCCTCATCCATTAAAACCGGATATGATTCATGAAACTCGTGAATCAGGAAGAGGGCACAATGTCCCGACATTTGCCACATCAAATCAAGCCACTACATCAGGTCACCGAATACTTTGCTGCCTTCTTGCCGAAATATTTGTTCAGACGTTTCTGATAGTTCTGATAGTTCTGATAGTTTGTGGATTAGCTGTTGTTCGGCATGGGCCAGGTGTGCCTGCCGTTCCTGTGAAGGTGGTTGAAAACCATTGCTTTCCGATGCCATCTTCAAGATCAGCGGTCAGCGGTATTCCTCGCTATGATGTCAATGAGAAAGAGAGTATTCTGCGACCCCGCCAGCTTGAAGAACTGGGGTATACGTGTCGTGGTGACAGGAAGGATCACCAATCTACCGCAAGTGCTGAGCCAATCCCTACAGCCGGCACAAATGGCTCGTCAACTGACAAGAAGTTGGATGCTGAACGTAATCAAACAGCGCGTTCTAGCGTAAGTTGGTTTTTAACCCTTTGCGGTGCATCAGTCATTTACGACTGATATTTTCTGGGGGTGGGTTGTATGCTCCCAGCTCTTGTGTACATCGTCTGAATGGGCTAAGATTTGGCACACACATAGTAGATACACAGGGGAACAAGCTGAAGGGGTAAAAGACCCGGGGTCGGTACTAAAAATATTGAGTTATCCTCGATCGTAGTCAGCGTTTCGACGCGCGGCGAAGCGCAGCGGAGCGCATCCTCTGCATACAAACTAAAGCCGCGTGCCCCATCTGACTGTATACTTGGGAAAAGAAACGATGTCTTGTTGCCGAAGTACAACACACTTGTTTCTTGTCGTTTGAAAATGGACGCGGATCAAGTTCTCAATCTCTTTCAGAACCTCGAGGCCGACGATGAGCCTCTGCCTGCTGAGAGCTCTGACTCTTCTGAAGGCGACTTCATGTCGTCGAGCGAAGAGGAAGAGCTGGACCGAGAGCTTGACGGCTATGTCAGTTCCGATGACGGATCAGCTGATGATCAGGTGGACGACGATGTTGGTGATGAGCCTGTTCCGTTGCAGGGCCAAGGACAACCAAGAGGCGGAGGGCGTGGTGTTCAGCAGGGTGGAAGAGGACAAGGACAGGCAGCCGTAGCGAGGGGTCATGGCGGTGGTGCAGGTCGTGGCGGTGGCGCAGGCCGCGGTGCTGGCGCAGGTCGCGCTGCTGGCGCAGGTCGCGGAGCTGGCGCAGGTCGTGGATGAGGCCGAGGACGCGGTGCTGGACTTGGTTACGCACCGTTGTCGTCCATGGATGTCGTCGATGACGACGGACCTCAGCAGATACCTGTGTTTCAGCCGTCCAGTGAACCTGGACTAAAACTGCCTCCTGGGTTTGTTGTCGACTCGGAGGCGAGTGTCTTCAAACTATTTTTCACACCTGAAATAGTTGCAGACATTGTCAAGTTCACGAATGCCTACGCTGATGCTCACATCGACCAGCGCCCTTCCTACAAAAATAAAGATGGCCTATGGACAGCAACAACAAGTGCAGAAATGTACAAACTTCTTGCCTTACTTCTCTATATGGCTTACCTTCCTCGTCCCGAACTGGCTGATTATTACAAAACTACTTCTCTCTTTGCTGGTGGTTATGCCAGGCTGATGATACCATCCCACAAGCGGTTCAAGGCGCTGATGTCCTTTCTGAAGGTTGTGGATCATACAACTGAGAACCCGGAAGATCGTCTCCGAAAGGTGCGTCACCTGATCGAGCATTTTCGCACAAAGTGTCGTACGTTGTTCAAGCCGTCACAAAACATCGCGGTGGACGAACGGATGATTCGGTGCAAGGGCCGCGCATCTTTCATCCAGTACATGCCAGCAAAGCCGTCAAAATGGGGGTTCAAAGCGTTTGCCCTCTGCGACAGCGCTAGTGCCATTCTGTGCGACTTTGAAATTTATACTGGCCAGGGCAATACCGTAGGTGGACTGGCGCATGATGTGGTGATACGCTTGGTGGAGTATCTAGGCAACCAGCACCATGTCGTGTACGTTGACAATTTTTTACACGTCTGAGAAGCTGCTGATGTCCCTGAAGAACCTGAATACCAGCATCGTCGGAACAATACGACAGAATCGAATCGGCTTTCCTGCAGAAATGAAAGTCGACTCGAAACGGTTCGAAAAGTGGGCAGCTCGGGGGACGATCCGCTACATTCGCAAGCAGGATGCATTGTATGTGCAATGGAAGGATAAGAGGTGTGTATCAGTCCTCTCCTCGCTCCATAGGGGAAACAGCACTGTCATGGTTGCAAGGAAAACCAAGGATGCACAGGGTCACTTCCTTCAAATTGACATCACTCAGCCTCGGTGTATCGCAGACTACAGCCGTAGTATGGGTGGTGTTGACACGTTCGACCAGCTTATTGAAACATATCGCACGCTACGACGAACGAGAAAGTCGTGGAAAAGTATATTTTATGATTTGATTGATGTTGCTGCAGTCAATTCTTTTCGATACTTTGAAATATGGCGTGCTAGCCACCCCGGTCAACTGCCACGTACAGCATACAGTCGGCATTCCGATTTTCAGTCTGGCCTTATTCGGCAGCTGGCTGAAATTGCTGTGGATGAGCCCCCGCCCAAGCGAACCTATGTCTAAGCTGGTGTCCACGCTCATAATGTCGTACGAACGACATAATGTCGTACTTTTTTGAAAGTTTGCTGAAAATGTCTCAGGAGAGATGGTGAATACCAAGCATCTTCTCCTAGAGGGACCATTTCCTAGGCTACAGTCAGCCGAAATGCAGGAGAAGGCCGATAAACAGTTCACGGCACTAACAGCATTGAACACAGCACCTCTTTCATATCGTGAATCCTATAAGACAATTGAAAATTTTATAGGAAAGCAAATGGACCAAGGCGCTACAAGTTACGCTATAATGTCCACTAAGACCACCAGTTACTAAACAATCAGCACATGCGATAACATTGCACGACACTGACCGACGGTACTGACGTTCTACAACTGACTGGCTAACAGCTCCAGCACATCTTGGATGCGCACTCCAACAGCCTTCCAACTTGGAAGGTTCTAAGTTATTTGATAACATAGGAGGGAAAGGTGAGCGCAACCAAGACAAGCACGAGCTGAAAGTCACAGCTGTGAAGGACGTTGGCAGATGTTAGTGCAAGTCGATGCCGATACTGGCTAGACCATTGGACAATACGGTCAAAACCACGATTCCAGGACCCCCTCCTATGTTATCATAATTATAACTTAAAACCTTCCAAGTTGGAAGGCTGTTGGAGTGTGCATCCAAGATGTGCTGGAGCTGTTAGAGTGTGCATCCAAGATGTGTTAGAGCTGTTAGAGTGCGCATCCAAGATGTGTTAGAGCTGTTAGAGTGCGCATCCAAGATGTGTTAGAGCTGTTAGAGTGCGCATCCAAGATGTGCTAGAGCTGTTAGAGTGCGCATCCAAGATGTGCTGGAGCTGTTAGAGTGCGCATCCAAGATGTGCTGGAGCTGTTAGAGTGCGCATCCAAGATGTGCTGGAGCTGTTAGAGTGCGCATCCAAGATGTGCTGGAGCTGTTAGAGTGCGCATCCAAGATGTGCTGGAGCTGTTAGAGTGCGCATCCAAGATGTGCTGGAGCTGTTAGCCAGTTAGTTGTAGAACATGGGTACCGTCGGTCAGTGTCGTGCAATGTTATCGCATGAGCTGATTGTTTAGTAACTGGTGGGTCTTAGTGGGCAGTATAGCGTAACTTGAAGTTCCTTGGTCTTTTTTCTTTTCTATAAATTTATCCTTGGCTCTCCATCCGAGTCCACAATTGAAAACAACCAAATTCTGCAGTGGTCGACCTTCTCTCTAGTGGAGCTAAGCCGACTGTATGCCATCACTGCGCTGGTCGCTATGGCAACGTATATCATACAATTGGCGATTTGGCGAGTTTGGCTCATCGCATGCAAGCGAGAGATATGCCATTCGAACCGATATCAAATTGTCTTTCATCTGAACCCTACTTGAAAAATCGATGCAAAATGTCACTAAACGTGCCGTTTCGTTCTTATAAAAAGCACGGATGACCGCGATCATTAGCCCATATGTTGTAGTCTTTTGGATGCTGGGTTGGCTGGTTTTCGTCTGAAAAGGCTGCGAGGCAGCGTTCGGCCCTTATTCCCATTCGAACCTGGTCGAGTAAGCGGTCAAGTGCTCGTGCGTACACCAGACGCCTGGTCACCGTGCCTGCAGGCTACAACTTACTTTCACACCAAAGTTCAACTCGACTGACAGGAACGCTGTAAAAGTTGTAGCCTGCGGGGCCGCGCGGCCATGGTGATCAGGTGACTGGTGTACGCATGAGCATGTGACCGCTTACTCACCCGTGTTCGATTGGGAATAAGGGCCGAACCATCACAGCCTTTTTGGACCAAAACCAGTCGACTCAGCGCCCAAAAGACTACAACATATGGACCAATCGCGGTCATCCGTGCTTTTATAAGAACGAAATGGTGCTTTTAGTGACATTTTGCATACAAACCCCCATCTAGTAGGGCGCAGTCACTCAGTTTCGGTGGAAGTACGCGAGTTCGATTGGGAATAAGGAGGAAGGGAGCGTCTGAGCTTCCTCGGACCAAGACCATTCGACTTAGCACCCGAAGACTACAACTGGTGAAAATTTGATTTCAGGGTTTACATGTACTTCCCCTTCAATATCAAAGTCAGGCATGTAGCTGAGGTGGGGTCCAGTCTCTGTGCTGTGAACGTCTCAGTCTAGTCTCTACCTTCACCAAACTTTCACGCCTGGCCCATCCTTGGGGTAAGACATCATTAGGATAAAGGAAAACAGCCAAGCAAAGAAGTGTGAGTAGAGAAGTGTGAGTAGATAAGCCGATAAACCGTGAATTACACTGTGAACGTGGTAAGGTGATGAACAAGGATAGGAAGACGTTTGCAGCACAAAAGCCACGTAGTGTTAGTGGGTTTTTTTTGTTGTTTTTTGTTTTGTTTTGTTTCTGGAACTGAACAATGTATAACTGGCTGCATGGGAGTGTGCGAATTCGTGGAAAACAAGTCCCATCAAGTCTTTGTGCGTTTTTTGCTGACGCAAAAAGTTGTGGGGAAATCCCAAAATCGGTGCGATTTTGCATGAGCCCAAATGTTTAAGTTACCCACAAAGACACAAGCTTTCCAACTCTCTTTGGCCGTTGGAAAGCGTACCGTATGGTAAGAATGAGTGGCCAGGCTCAACGGGACAGGGCGGTTGGGAGAGATATCATGCAAACACCATACTGTACTGTGATCTCTTGAACTAATTCCATGGTTTCATAATTCAACATCGTACACCGTATTCCGTACACTTGGCAGTACATGTCAACCGAAGAGTCGTAAAATATTTTACGACTCCCTGGTCGATCGAGAGTCCCAGTCCCGCACAAAGTGAAAATCAGTGACTGTATGCCTCTAACGACACTGAGTTGTTTCAGTTGTCGTTGCAGCTTTGGTGGACTCCACTGATGTCTTGTTCCGCATCTGCTGACCTGTCAATTCTCCATTCGAGTAAAAGTTATGCTCAGTCATTTGGAAGTTTTCTCCAGCGATGCAGTGAAAAACAGGGTTACTTGCAATCTTTGCGAAACGGTCTATTCTTACAAAGGCTGCTCAACGATGCTGCTGAAAAGACATCTCGACACCAAACAGCAGTCCGAAGTGAAGCAGCAGCAACCCCAAATGCCGGTGGTGATAACTTGAACCAGCTGAATTGAAAAAATCGAACTTAGAAAAAAATATTTGAAAGGGTCATATTTCCCACTATTATGAAACTCGTAAGCTCGCTCGATAGCGTGCTCGTTAGTGGAACTGTTCGCTCGTTTGTTATAGATCCGCTCGTTTCAACACTAATGTGAACTGACATGCACTGTCTCTGATGACCAACAATGACTTGTAAGAATTGGCATTGCTGTATTCTTGCAGGGTGACAATATTTGTCACGCTCTTCTGCTGCTCAGCTTTGCGTGGGTATTGACTAAGAAAAAATAATTATATGCTTCCTGGCAATGCTCTCCGCAAAGGGGGGGGGGGGGGGATCTCATCTGATGATTGTGACTGAAGAAGTATAAATTTTTATTACTTTGTAGATCCAATACTCCAGTGTTCCTCCAATTAAGTCAGGAAAATGTAGAACAGAAAATAGAATATGTCCCCGCAAGGTCGACCTCCCCCCCCCCCCCCCCTTTCTTAGGTGTACAAGCAGTCCTGCATGGGAAATGGTGGGAAACAGTACAATAATAGTACTTCAAAGTAATTGTTATTACGATACAATGTGTTACATCTTCGAAACAAGTTTCATTTTTTGATGTACATGCCTGTCATGTACAGTGCTGCTCTATGAAATCCAGTCGTGTCACTCAAGTCTGCGCCTTGCATCATTTCGCAGCCCAGTGTTCGCAGGTCTATGGCTGTGCAACGCCCGGCGCGTACTTCAGTGACGTGGCTGGATTTCATTGAGCAGCACAGTACATGTACATGTATATCGAAAATGAAACTTGAATTGTTTGGAAGATGTGAACTGACATGCACTGTCTCTGATGACCAACAATGACTTGTAAGAATTGGCATTGCTGTATTCCTGGCAGGGTGACAATATTTGTCATGCTCTTCTGCTGCTCAGCTCTGCGTGGATATTGACTACGAAAAAATAATTATAATCTTCCTGGCAATGCTCTCCGCAAGGGGGGGGGGGGGGGGGAGTCTCATCTGATGATTGTGACTGAAGAAGTATAATTACGAGAGCGTTCCTGTCCAGTGCTGCAGTCAATATTATTTCTTCTGCATGTTCTTCTTTATTCAAAGGTTCAAGATGAATCATCCAAAAACCTGGTCCGAAAGCGACGGCTTTTGTTCAATGCACTATCAATGTCCATTGTTAACCAACTCAGTGATGCCAAGTCATGCCTAACGGCTGTCCTTAACGAACTGGTGAATCTGACAAGTAAGACTCCATGTGTCCCCTGGCTGTCCTGAATCATCTTTTTGTATTGACTTATAGAGTGGTTGAACATCTCTGCCATGTGACTTAATTTGTGTCGTGTGACTAAATTTTTGTACAAAGCTATTATGGAATGTGGACAGCGGAACCAACATGGCCGACATCTTATGATAGAGGTTGAGTGGTGTTGGAACCAATGGTAGTAGGCGCAAGTATTTGCAGGAAGTGGCGCTATAAATCCATAGGGTTTGCCAACATCATGGCATCCAGCTTGTGGCGGAGTGGGTGCCCCGCAAGGAAAATGAGCTCGCTGATTATTTTTCCAAAGTTGTGGATGCCAGCTATTTTTGAGTGGCTGGACGACAAATGGGGTCCACATACACATGTTTTGCCAGCATGAGCACAAAGAAAATCGACTGATAGTGTTGACGGTAGTGGAACCCAGGGAGATGCATTCACGTTTCCATGGACGTCAGGCGAAATTACTGGTCAGTCGGCGACACGCATTTTTCACAAAAATTTGCGTTTCACCTGCTGGGAGAGTATGCGTGTACTCGAGTCTCATACTGAGCACGTTTTTTTCTTCTTTTTTTCAGCTCCAGTATAGCTGTATTTTTCATTGCAAAGCCGTCCTCGATTCTTCTGTTCATTGTTCAAACGAAGTGGACATTCAGTCATGAAGGCAGAGGACATAGGAGCCTGATTGGAGTTTCTCGTGGCATAGGACGGCCACACAGAGACACTTCAGGATTTTCTGAATATAAAATACCGTACGCACGATGCTGAGATCAATTTGTGCGATATCAAATTGTTTGTGATCTACCACATCGAGCAGAACGGGATCCAAACACAAGCTTACCGACGGTTAGGCTGCCGACCTGACTGGACAAATGATCCCTGAGTCTCATACTGAGCACGTTTTTTTCTTCTTTTTTTCAGCTCCAGTATAGCTGTATTTTTCATTGCAAAGCCGTCCTCGATTCTTCTGTTCATTGTTCAAACGAAGTGGACATTCAGTCATGAAGGCAGAGGACATAGGAGCCTGATTGGAGTTTCTCGTGGCATAGGACGGCCACACAGAGACACTTCAGGATTTTCTGAATATAAAATACCGTACGCACGATGCTGAGATCAATTTGTGCGATATCAAATTGTTTGTGATCTACCACATCGAGCAGAACGGGATCCAAACCCAAGCTTACCGACGGTTAGGCTGCCGACCTGACTGGACAAATGATCCCTGGCTTCACCAGACGCCAGAAGTCGGACACCATGTCCTTTGCCGCGACGTCCATCTCCAAAAAGAACTCCATCTTCGTCGTGAAAAGGCTTGAAATACTCAATATTCAACCGAGATTCGCGGTCTCACCCTTTCTCAGATCGAATCATTTTTTGTTGTAGCAGTTGCAGGGCAGATCCCCGCCACTACGTCAACAGAAGATGGCTCCAAAGCATGCCTGGAACAAGCCATATCGAGGTTGCAAGCCACCCCTCTCAGCACTTTTTTTGAAGAAATTCGAAATTTCAATAGTGGAAGATATACTATGAAGAGAATTTCAAAAAGTATGTTTCGCGGAGCGATCGCTCAACCTACGTCATTCAAACTTTGCAGGATGGTTCAGACGTACATGCTAGGCATGGAACCACAGAAGATGATATCATAGCTGACACACAGAGTCACACACACAGCAGATTCGTGTGCACAGATACTACTTGAAATTAGTGGACGTCGTCATCTTCTTCCCGCTGATCTCAAATGTACTATGACGTGCTATTTCGCCTGACGAGGGAGATCACGTTTGGCTCACCCCACCCCTGTGCCTTATGGGCAGAGTTATACAAATGGTTTAAACATATTATGAGTGTCATGCAATTCTGATTGTGCCTAAGTGGGTGTCAGCCCCATGGTGGCCATTGCTGTCCCGAGGGTCATCCTGGGGTCCGTGGGCGAAGGAAGCCATTGAGATCCCTCTGAGGGAAGTCACGTTTCTGCAGGGTTGGCTGCAGGTAGCCATATTGCTGCGGGCAGCCATATTGCATTATTCTTCAAGGGTAATGTCAATAAATTTCTATGGAATAGGAATAGGAAGGTACTGATCCATAACAAAAAACGAAAAAACAAGACTGCCAACAGCTGGCAGAATCGATACGCCCCGCACTAAAGAAATTAATACTAAACTGAAAGTGATCAGAAGAGAATTCCACGTATTTCTGTGCTTTTATTAAACCATGATTATTTTAAATATTTTAGTAAGGCAAACACAAGGGCGGGTGGCCGTGGGTGGGCCCTTGCAATGCAAGACAAAAAAAAGAGACCGATTCAAAATGCGCAAGCGCTTTTCGGCGCTTGCACCACCTTCTGTGTCATTACCATGACACCAGCATAATATTCAAAAATATATAAAATTTATAGAAAAACGCAAAAAAACACGCATCGCAGATGTTCGGCACTCGAAAGAACAATGCTTCTCGTTTATGTCTAACATTCAGGCAACGAGAAGCGTACACTGGCTGTACTGTATGGAATAGATGTGAAATATCTCTATACTATATAGTATAGACAATACAGTGCAGGGGAACTTTCTGCTGTTGCACTATGCAGTATTGCAGAGGATTTCAGGGCGCTCCGCGAATATTTTTTGGAAGTTTGTTGTTCTCTTCACTGGTGGCAGAGATGGTCTCAGAGGGGTCCCAGGTAGGCCCAAACAGATCCTGCCGGCAATTCTTTCAGCAAAATATTGAAGAATTGAAAGAGCGGAAATTGCCGCCAAAATCGGAGCGAAATATCGGGATGTTGGGTAAAATCGATGCCTGATACTTGGATTTCCTTGTTTCTTGCCCGTTCAGCATGATAGTCGCCCGGCTAGCTCAGTCGGTAGAGCATGAGACTCTTAATCTCAGGGTCGTGGGTTCGAGCCCCACGTTGGGCGCCAAATGTTGTAGTTGTTAGTCTACCATTACTTCTCCATCACTGCATCAGCTCAACCGCCACCACTGGACTGCCTTTTTACACTCTTTTATTGACGAATAACCAAGAACACGGAAAACGACTACATCTTGACAAGACGACAGACCAAAGTCACACAGTTTCGCGCATGCGCACAACACCACCAACCAATGACGCGTGTCCACAGCGACCAAGACGAAACAAACACGTGACACCAAATCTACCACAATAGACTGTGCCCAGGACAATATGATGTCACCAAAATATCACTGGGATTCACTGTGGATTGACATGATTTTGGAAGAACTCAGGGACACGTGCGTGGAAACCCGTGTTGAGAAACCAACCACTCGATTTTTGTGAAACGTACGGGAAGTGGATAAAATACACGTTTTTCCGGAGCAAAATGGAGCAAAATATCGAGTTTCTTGTGCCAGGCTCGGCAAAATATCGAAGATTTCGCAGCAACATTTTGCAGCAAAATATCGAGGGGAGCGAAGCAGAATCTGTCTGGGCCTAGTCCCAGGTCGAGAAAGCTAGTTCCAAAAGTCCCAAATTGGGAAGCCCAAAGTGTGTTTGTCAACGTCTTGATGACGCCATGCAAGATTAGGTACTTGTGGTGCTGAAGTGGGAAGTGTTCATTGTTGAAGGAAAGGAATAGTGCAAGTGTCAACACGTTATTCTTTTTCTTCGATGTCACTCGGCCAGTGTTACCAAGTTCCCTCTACCCCCATGCGTACTGCCCAGTGCCATTTTGTGGAATTTTTATTCAGAATTTTGCGCGTTTGTTTTTCAGGTCAACATTCTGACTGATTATTAGAGGTGTAATTTGGAAAAACCCCGATACTGTACAACTTTTCCAGCCACAGAGTTCACTTGTGAAGCCTACGAATTAAGGAAACAGAAGAGTAACATCAAGAGTATAATTATAATCCCCCGAGCCAGTGTGCAACTCCTGATACCCTTTCTATGGGGTACGCCGACGGCGAAAACTCACATCACGTGGTGCAGTGTCGCAGTTGTACGTTTTTAGCGAGCAGCGGAGTAATAAAAAAGCACTGTCGGACAGAAACTCACTTCGGGTATGCAAATCCCCAGCATGATCATGGCAGATATTCGTATTGCGTGCACGCTATCCTTCGTTTGAAGTAGTACGAACGTATCTGAGACACGTGATGTGAGTTTTCGCCGTCCGAGACCCCATATGCAGAGTTGCACACTCTTGGGGGGTTATAATTATATACCCTTGTTAACATGATAGGCAAGGGTGAACAAGATCATGCTCAGAGCTGTAGATGTATAGACAGATTGTGAAACTCAGATCATGCTCAGAGCTGTAGATGTATAGACAGATTGTGAAACTCAGATCATGCTCAGAGCTGTAGATGTATAGACAGATTGTGAAACTCAGATCATGCTCAGAGCTGTAGATGTATAGACAGATTGTGAAACTCAGATCATGCTCAGAGCTGTAGATGTATAGACAGATTGTGAAACTCAGATCATGCTCAGAGCTGTAGATGTATAGACAGATTGTGAAACTCAGATCATGCTCAGAGCTGTAGATGTATAGACAGATTGTGAAACTCAGATCATGCTCAGAGCTGTAGATGTATAGACAGATTGTGAAACTCAGATCATGCTCAGAGCTGTAGATGTATAGACAGATTGTGAAACTCAGATCATGCTCAGAGCTGTAGATGTATAGACAGATTGTGAAACTCAGATCATGCTCAGAGCTGTAGATGTATAGACAGATTGTGAAACTCAGATCATGCTCAGAGCTGTAGATGTATAGACAGATTGTGAAACTCAGATCATGCTCAGAGCTGTAGATGTATAGACAGATTGTGAAACTCAGATCATGCTCAGAGCTGTAGATGTATAGACAGATTGTGAAACTCAGATCATGCTCAGAGCTGTAGATGTATAGACAGATTGTGAAACTCAGATCATGCTCAGAGCTGTAGATGTATAGACAGATTGTGAAACTCAGATCATGCTCAGAGCTGTAGATGTATAGACAGATTGTGAAACTCAGATCATGCTCAGAGCT